AATAAACATGTTACAAATGTAAAATAAAACACACAACCACATATAAACATTCCAAATAATAAAATATGAAATGTAATGACTTCGAAAACTAGCCCCGAGCACGAAAAATCTGAGTGCGGGACCCACACGGGACCTACTCGCCTAAAAATCCAAATAATTCCTAAATAACTTAAAATACATTTCTAAGGGTTCTAAACTCAAATAAATGCCCCAACCCACTCTCAGGACCCTCGTGGCATGCTAACTGGTGCGTGGAACGCAAAACGAGGCGCAAAAATAAATAAATTCAAAAAATCAAAAAATACAGAAAAAATAAAAAATCGAGAAACGTTATAGTTCATTTGTGATTGTTGATTGGCTGGTGATTTGGTAGGGATAGGATTCAAACTTCCAATGTTGGTGGTGATTCATTCTCGGGAATACTGTGTTGGTGGTGGTTATGGGTTAGGATGGTGGTGGTGGCAACAGTGATTGTGGTGATGACGGTGGTTATCGGTAAGAGCCCAACCTCAAACACCATGATCACTGACGCCGACGGTAAACTCTAAGCATCAATAAGGAGTAAACCGGTGAGAGTCCAACCTCAAACTCCATGATCGTTGGCGTTGACAAAAAACTCTAAGCATCAACAAGGAGTAAACCAGTGAGAGACCGATCTCAAACTCCATGACCGTTGGTGAGAAGCTCTGAGCATCACGACACAATCGCAGTGAGTAAACCAGTAACTTATCATCATACAGACCCAATTAACTAAATCGTGAGCATCTTTAAAGACCCAAATCGAGAACTTCATTGAAGACCAGCTGCTGGCTACTGAAGGTTGTGATATGTCGGCATTTTCTTCGACTGTGGAAAAACTAGAATGTAGAAGAGAGAGCCTTATATGTAAAGCCATGTTTGTCAGTAAAATAAGTAAGGTGATAAGGTAATGCTGTGTTGTCATAATGCTATTGGATTGTTAAGATTTTTTTGACACATCAGCAACTAAGTTCAAGACAACACCAAAACGACGTCTTTCCATTAAAGGGTAATATTGTAATCCTTTTTTTTACGGTGCTGGAGACTCACCTACTGTCCGTAAATGTAACTTTATCATAGTTTAAGGGGACACTTGTTAATTTAGGGGGGTTTTGTGCAATTGTTTGAAAGTTCAGGAGGGTTTATGCACTTTACCCTATAAGATAAGAGGCAAGTGTTATAAGATGGTAGTTTCGAAATTATGAAAATATTACTTACTTACTATTCTTTCCCTCCAAATCTATTCAATTTTTGAAGGATATCATATGAGGGATTTTGAGGGATAAATATCCTTCCAAATCTCTTTCAATCATTTCTTTCTCTCAACTAAAAGTTTTCCAAACATGATTTTCACTATTCTTTCTTTTATTTTCTTTTCAAATCCTTCCAAATCACTCAATCCAAATGAAGCCTAAGGGTATGTTTGGAACAGTGGAAAAGAAAAGAAATGATAAGATTAGTTAGGAGAGAAAAGAAAAAAAGAAAGAAAGAAAAAAAGAAAAAGAAAGAGAGGATTTAGTTAACTACTTATCATGTTTAGTTGATTAATAAAGAAAAAGAAAGGAAATGATTCATGTTTGGGGAAAGAAATGAAATGAAAGTATTATAATGAATTTATTACCGTACCATTTTTCATAGATTTTGTTTTTTATAAAAATAAGGGGAAATTTGGTATTAATAAAGTTTCATTAAAAAAGCTAGTTTTTCTTTTCATTTCCTTCCATTTCTTTCCATTTTTTGAAAAAATAATAAAACTAACACATCATATATAATTTGTTTTAGGTGTGGTGGTGTTTCCCGAGTGGTAAAAGGGTCAAGCCTAAAGTACACGTACCCACCCTATTGCTAGGCTATATATATATATATATATATATAATTTGTTTCCTTCTAAATCCCTCCATTTCCTTTTTTTTTTCTTTAAAAATTAATACCAAACACAACATTTGATTTCCGTCAATTACCTGTGTTTTTTTTTCTTTTCCTTCCAATACCCTCTAGGCCGAGTTTGGTTGGAGGGTAATGTAAGGAAAAGAAAAGAAAGAAAATAGAGGGAAATGTAATAATATGTTTGGTATGGATTATGAAAGGAAAAGAAAGAAAATAGATAGATTCAGAAGGATACAAAGTAGGCATGATGCGTGTTAGGAGGAAAGGGAAACAAATGCTAGTATTTTTAATGAAACTTTATTAATATAAAATTTGCCCTTATTTTTTTAAAAGATAAAATTTATATAAAAGGGTATAGTAGTAAATTCATTAACACAATTTTCTTTCATTTCTTTTTCTACCAACCAAACGGTAAGTCGTTAACAATATCTTCTCATTTATTTTATTTTCTCTCCTAACAATAAGTACGATAACGATGAAGAATAAAAAAGTTTGAAAAATTCTTAAATGACATTTTTAAACTAATCATTATATTTTGCAGCATATTTTTATATTTTTGCTTCCAAAAATCTTGCATTGCAACAAATGAATGTTACCAAACATATTTCTGATTATTATTTAAAACACTTTATAAACATAACACTTGTTTTTGTTTCGGATTAAAACAAAAATGTGTACCAAATAGGTCCCAAATCTTCCTTCTTATAATAAAAATTTAGATAGTAATGAATATAATTAAATTACACCTAATGATATGTCGAAGAGCACAAAAAAAAAGGCGGCTTGAATTTAAAATAATTTTTTAAAAAAATTAAAACTTTTAGAATACAAAATTGACAAATACAACAGAATCTATCAAGTAAAGATCATCATTAGATTCATTGCAATTCAACACAACCCAAATTTATCAACTATTGATAATCATTAGAGTCATTACAATTAAATTATAAAAAATTGTAGTGCAAAGTATCAGAAAATAATATTTAATTTCCAATATGACGTTCTTGTTGTAGTTTATGAAGACATTCATCTGTTGTTGAAACACACGAAGTGTGAGGGTTCGCATGGCCTTCTTACGACTGTAATGGGGTGGCCCACACATTGAGCACCATAATTTGGTAGGACTAGGAGTAGTTAAAAAATTAAATTGTGATTGAAATGCGTGGCCTCAATAGTTTCTGGATATTGTAAACTATTATTATTGATAGAGTTTTTTTTTAATATCAGTGGGGTTAAAACAAGTGTCCCATTAATACAATGAAATTATATGAAAGTAAATGAAACCTTATACTCAAAAGATAGAAGCTATCGTGTTATTTGAGTAGTTGAATTGTTTTTTATATTTGAAAGTTTATGTTCTAGTCTTGCATGGTAGGAGTGACAAAGTTTGACACAATTTGTCAATATTATTCGAACACGACACAAATTAAATAGATATAAATTGACATTAATCTGTTTCATCAATCGTGTCGTGTTTGAATTGAAACAGTTCAATTCGTATAATTCGTTTAATTATCATTAAAAAAAAAATTATATTTAAATTTTAAAATAATTATCTAAACTTGTATTTTATAATTTACCCTTTTGTAGACCAGAGACTATTTATAAATTTGATTAGATTGAAATTTATATTTTTTTATGGTTTATTATTCGTTTGGGTATTATTAATAATTTAAATAATATAATTTTTTATTTTAGTAAATATGTCATTAAGCGAATTATACGTGTAACCCATTTAATAAACAGGTCGGATTATTATTGAGAGTTTTTGACACGAATATTAAATGAGTCGTATTCGAATTGTATTCGAATTGACTTATTTAATAAAATATTCTTAAATTGACACGACACGACACGACACGACATAATTATGACCTGCAAACAATAATCGACATACCCTCATCCCTCTTCATTCGCTCTGGCCACTAACCCCTCAACTTATTGTCATAAAAAAAATAATTAATAATAATAATAATAATATAATATACTCAAAAAATACCATTAGATTACACTCAAGCCCACACCGGACCTCGACTTTTTAGTCTCGACTCTCGAGTGGTGATAAGATGAGATTAGATGGACTACATAAAATTTATGTGACCACTATTTTTTTTTTTTGTTTTTTGTTTTTTGTTTTTTTCCATTGTGAATATCATTTCCAAAACCTTAATGCTCCCCTTGCTTGTATAGTTGACTTTATGAGCTAATATCTGTAATGCCATATTACTGTTTTCAATTTGAAATATTTTTCTCCATTGACATTATTACATTTTTGGTAAATTTCCCATCAATTGCTTTTTATTACATTTTTGGTAAATTTCCGATCAATTGCTTTTCAAAATAAAAGATCCAACGTATGCACGGCTGAGCCCACCCCTTTTTTACTATACCTAATTTTAGACTAGCCAAATATATATATATATATATATATATATATATATATATTAACAATTTCTGAATTCTCCCTTAAATGTACGACACTTTCTCATTTTTTAAAGTAAAAGAGTGAACGTGAGTAAAAGTCTCATCGTTTAAAAAAAAAAAAAAAAGAGTTGACACATGAAAAAACACCATTCACTCTTACAGAGGTATCACTTTTTGTGCACACAAGTATCATTTTTTGTCCATCAAGTATCACTTTTATTCACATAAGTACCATTTTTTGTGTATCAGGTACCACTTTTTTGTGCAACACAAAAAGTAATACCTGATGATAAAAAATGATAATACTTATATGCCTAAATGTGATACGAGAATAAACAATAATTTTTCATATCTTTATTTTTTAAAAATTATAAAATTTAAACTTAATTAAATAATAAATATAAATCATTAATACCGTTTATATGTAATAATTTTAATAAAATACACGTAGCGTGAGGTTCTTACAAAAATAACGGACGATATGAAATAATGTAGCAATCTTTAGGGCCAGAGACTGTGGGACAAAAGACCCAGCGGTGGGCCTTTCCCACATGCTACTTTGAATCAATAATAATGATAAACACCCTCCACAACAAAAAAGCGATGCGGCGACGTTTTTGAATTTTTGTGTTGTAAGTTTGTGAAATGTTTGCAACAAATATATATGTATATAATACAGAAAAACTATGAATCGTTTTCATTTCTTGTTTGTTTTGCCAAGAAAAGGTGATAAAGAAAGCAAAAGCAAGAAAACAAAAAACCAAAAAACGGAAAAGACAAAATCAGTACATTGTCACGTGACGGTCACGTGATCAATCTTATCCTCAAGGATTGTATAATCCAAAATGCAAGGACAAACGACCACCACTTATTCGACAGGTGTCAGACAACTCCACTTTTTATTCCAATATCTTGTTAAGAACTTGGGTCCCACAAAGAAACACCCACACACACCACCACATGATGTGGTAGTAGCTGTGACAATGTACACTTGAATCATCATCACCGTGAAAGGGCTCGGCGGAGGACATGAGCCAACAATCCGGGTGCACTCAGGTGGGGCAAGTGGCCCTCCGTGTTCAACATCTCCACTGTGTTCCGCCCGCCGAGGTGGCTCTTCAAGTAGGCCGCCACCGATTGTGGCACGGACACGTCCCTCGCGGTCTGAATTATGCAACATGGCACTCTCACTAGCCCTAAAACCCCCCTCAAATCACTATTGAACACGGTGCGTGACACGAACAACGTTATGTCGGGCCTCATGTTGAATAATGTCCGGCTGAATTCCCGGACCACCGTCGGGACGTCCGCCCCGACCGCTAGCGGAGCGAAACCCTTCACCCACGCCTCGTAATTCATCTCCATGGCCGAAAACACTTTCTCAATTTCACCTTGCTCGAATCCACCATGGTAATCCCTATCATTTAGAAACCTGTCATTTCAGCTAAATTATGAGTACACAATCTTCTAGAAAACTGTTTTAAAAAATTATAAAAATATTGATGACATGGCATTACATCAATCGGTCATCTTTATTTCAGTTATGTTTTGCTCACAAAATGTATATATATATGGAGTAACATTTTTTTTAGTCACTGTCATTTTATGTATTCATAGTGTAAAGTGAATGTAGCAAAATAAAATTGAAAGTAAGAAAGACCATCCATGAGATTCTTGCTTTTGCGTTTCATTTTCACTACTTTATAACAAACCAAAATGGATGATATTTTTCATTGTGTACCTCGGAGATGCTCCGATGAGGACGAGCTTAGTGAAGAGCTCCGGCCGGCGAATGGACGCTAAAATTCCGATCATGGCGGAGACGGAGTGGCCGACGTAGGCGCACCGATCGACGCCGAGGGCGTCGAGTATGTTGAGGAGGTCATCAACATAGGGATCAAGAGTGGTGTATCGCCGGAAATCGAAGTAATCGGGATTGACACTGCCGGCGCAAATGAGGTCATAGAGGATGACACGGTAGTAAGGGGTAAAATAGGGCAGAATGCGCTGCCACGCCGATTGATCGGTGCCGACACCGTGGGCGAGGACGAGGATTTTCTCGCCGGAGCCGATCACCCGGACGTTCAGGGCTTCCAATAGGCTTTGACCCATTTTGCAGGAAAAAAAAAAAAAAAAAAAAAAACCAGAGAGAGAAAGTGAAGGAGTGGTGGGTTGGTTTTCTATATGTCTGTGTGTTTTGTTCATATATGGGTCAGTGATTCTAAGTTTGGTGTGGGTATTTATAGTGCCATGTGAGAGAGTTTTAATCTCTGCTTATAAAGTTTGGAGTTGGGTCATACACAGTACTTTGGATTTTAATGCTACGATGACAGGGGATATTTTATTTGTTAGTGTGACAGCTGAATCTGGAAGGTTGGTATTGTGGTTAGGTTGATGTGAGTGTGTGATATTTCACATCGAGTGTGTGTTTGTATTAACCATGATCAAACTTGGTGTTTGGCTTATTTTGGTCGTGGTGGCTTTGTTCTGTAGCTAATTTTCTAATCAGCAGATTGTGATGTGGCTTATTTTAATATTTAATGCGGTTGACAAATTATATATATATATATATATAAAAGAATTTCTGCCCATGGAAAGTTTTGGAATGAAATTGACAAAATCAATTTGGAAACAATAACTTGAGAATCTTGACAATAAATAAGCACTCATTGTAGTCGGACCCTATCTTATCTTTGTAATAATGCGATATAATTTTAATAATGATATACAGAGAAGTTAATTTATGCTAATCTTGAAATTTTGCCCCAAATATTAACTGGTAGTTAATTAGGATTATAAATTAATCCAACTGTTAATGAATAATTTAAATTTGGCTGGAATTCTTTTACTAAGCAAATGAATTGAGTTTGAAGTAAATGAGCTATATGTCCAAAACTCAGCCCATGAGACAAGTGAATTATTAATGGACATGTATTTATGAAAACCTTCAGTCAAAGGATAATGAACATGACTTGTTTATTAGGAATTATTTAAATTTAATTAATCTTGATATCATACTCAAGATTGAGCTTCAGCTCAATAATGAGCTTGATATTATCTTTGAAATGGACTATACTAGTCAAAGAAGCCGAGCTCGATGACCAATGTTTAAGCTGAGCTCGAGCTTCGCGGGCAATATCACAAAATTGCATATGAAGTATTTTGTTACATAGAATCAAAAGAGTTGCACGATGGAAGGTATGCGAAGTTTGATATAAAAATAGTTTTTTAGTGGGTGAATATGTTTTACTTACTCTTTTATTTAATTTTTGTTTATTTTAACTCTATCGAAATAAATTTAAAATTAACCTACAAAGTAATAAATAATTTACAATTAAAGTAAATAAATTTTGAGAAATGATATCAAAGTTTTTTATGCATGAAAAAACCCTTGTCGGAAGAAAGCTGACCAATCGGGATAAAAATCACAAATACTTTCGCAATCTCGAACGAAACATCCACTAATCTTCGAAGTAAAGTACAATGAACTTTTACTCATGCTCACACCCACTCCATTGTACCCAATAACTAGTTGTTGAACATACCAGGTTGACTATCGCGACTCCCCGTCCGAATGCTGGAGACTTCAGGCTTACTCTCTAATCCTTGTAGAAGGGTTGCTGGTAGATAATGAATTCTCCGTTGAATGCTTTGACTCCTTCTTAGTGTGATCGATTTCTCCTTCCTTCAAATTTTGAATTTTGCGAAGGTAAATCAAAACCTTATTGTTCTAAATGGAATCTTCAATATGTTTGAACTCCGGTTAGATAAGAACATTACCCTAAAATCACTCAAGTGGAATAGTTGTACTCTCAAGTATATAATAATATACACAAAAATCAAGGAAGATTTTCTGTCAAAAATACTTAAAAAAAACTCTCAATAGCAAAACTATTTTTCTCTTTAAATCCGTAATCAATCAAGAGAGAAAGAGAGAGTTTATATAGACTAGAGATTCATCAAAATATATGAAAAAATGTTTTAAAATCGTACAAAGACTTCTCTAGGAGTTTTGATAAAAAGCGGAAACTAAAAAATTACCGAAAACTGAAATCTTGCACATTAGGAAAACACAACCGGTTCTGTTTTAAACGCCACCAGTTGTGTTTTTACTAATAGCAATTTCTGATCACAAAAAAAAACAGTTGATTGTGTTTTGAAAGGCCACCGATTATGCTTTTATTGGGAGTTGTTTTAAGACTTGAGAAAATTGCAACTGGTTCTGTTTGTAAAAGCAACTGGTTGTGTTTTTGCTTAGGGCTAAAAATTGATTTGTTTTGACTCTAAAAAGCTCAATACTTTCACAATCAACCCAAAACACGTAAGTGTAATGTGTCCTCACTCACATACATGTTTTAAAAATTGTTCTCATCGAATCGAAGTATGTGTACATTTATTCCGCTTTCAACATCAAGACTCAAAGTAAAACAAAAATTACAATTTAATCAGACATGTTTTGACATCAAAATTTACCAATTACAAAATTCACATATCGCAATTATTACCCTAACTTATGTAGTTAAAGCATACTTAGGAATGAAATAACTTTCAAAACGTGTTATTCCATTCCCTTGTACTAGGGGTGGCAATACATGTTCGCGAGTCATAATCGTGTTATGACGATTTAAGGGTATTATACTAAATAACTCAACTTGAACACGACCCATTTAATATTGGTGTCAGAAACCCTCAACATTAACCCAACTTGTTTATTGTTATTATTTTTTTCAACCCGAACTGTTTATTTATTTACGTTTTCAACCCAACCTGTTTATTTAATGGGTTACACGTATAACTCGTTTTATGACCTATTTGCTAAAACAACAAATTATATTATTTAAATTGTTAATAATACTCAATCAAACAATAAATACTAGAAAAATATAATTTTCAATCCAATCAAATTACTAAATAGTCACTGGTTTAAAAAATAGTAAATTATAAAACACGAGTTTAGATAGTTATTTTGAATTTAAATATAAATTTTTTATAACACGTATAGTTATATGGGTTACATGAGTTGAACCACCTCAATCCAAACACGATACGATTAACTAAACAGGTTAGTCGTATTGACCTGTTTACAACTCAAAATCATTTAAGGTCAACCTAAACTCGTTTAACTTGTGTCATGTTCGAGACGATTAACTAAAAAGTTAGTCGTATTGACCTGTGTACGATTCAAACCCATTTAAGGTTAACTCACACCTGTTTAACTTGTGTCATGTCGCATCGATCCGTTTACGATCCAAACCCATTTAAGATCAATCAAAATCTATTTAACTCGTGTCGTGTTCGATTCTTATTGACGGATTATGTCAAACTTTGCCACCCCTACCAAGGAAGCCTATGTTCCATTCATGTGCTCTTTCCTGCCATCTATCAATTTATCCCTTCTTCCAAACGAACTATTACCATACCTGTTGGCATGTTTTCATAAAGACATATCATCTTGAGTGGTATTACATGATAGAACATTGCACAAAAGTTGTTAATAGTAGGTTTATTTAATTTTTATTACTTCCATCTGTTCGATGTTAGTAATCCACTATTTCATTTTTAAATGTTTCAAATTAGTTGTGCATTTTGAAAAGTCAACGCAAATAAATCTTATCTTTTCATCATTATTCTTTATTTTTTTAAAAAATTTCAAACTTAATAACTATATATATCTAAATGATAAAGGACAAGTTAATAATTTTAAAAGGGGACAATACATTAATTGCATGTTCCTTAAAAATTCTAATTTCTAAACATGAATATCTAATAAGGAATGGAAGAAGTATTATTTATGTCTTTCCGTAGATATTTGATAGGGAAGATATTAAACATGCAGGGAGGTTCAAACGATTATGGAGCCGGAGATAAGCTGTAAGGGATATGAGGATAGCTCCTCCTATATCTCTCTTGTGATGGAGAAGGTAATCTAATGAGTAATGAGTCTCATCACTAATGGTTGAACACAGCAACCCAGGAGATTTGGCCAACTCAAAATATACACCAAAAATCTAAAGTATTTCTTTGATATACAATCTATCCATTAGTAAGCCGATGCGGGTCTCCATCACCTCTTCTCTTGTAGAAAAGGCATTCAATTTCAGTCACCTCTAACATTCAATTTCAGATCGTGCAGAATTTTGCATCAACACTGGTAATAATTGAAAATCTAGATATTAGCATTAACAATTCATGAAATTATAAAACAAATCAAGCACAGTTGAAGTTATGGTTGTTTCAATTTTCTTCATCTCTCTAATATCTATGTTGTCGTGAAAATTTTAAAAATATATGATTAATGAAGTCAAAAAATATCACTGCACAATCAAATTGCCCCTATTAATTACTGCTAATTGGATCAAATAACTGGTACTTATTATATATGTGTGTGTGTATATATATATACACTAATTCTTTAGCAAATGATGACGATGATGGCAATGTTAGTGGTGTTGATGCAACTGAGGATGATGACAAAGATATGATATACAGAACACTCAGCTTATCAGAAATTTAAAAGGAAAAAAAAAAAAAAAAAAGTCAGAGATATTATAACATATATAGGCAGTGAGAGTATCAAAATTCATGATGGTCCAATTTAACTTTTAGGAAGCGATTGCTATGCCACTCTTGATATGCAGTGCTATTGCTCAGTGTGTGGGATACATGGAGTCTCGATCTGTAGCTAGCTATTGGTGAAATAATAATGAGGAAAAGAGTAGGGTCATTGAAGAATCTGATTCAATGTGGGTAACTTGTACCCCCACAAAAATACAAATGCATGGTCCCTCTTTTTCTTGTTGCCGCATCCTTCTCTCTCTCTCTCTATAATTGACAAACCCACATTGCCCTCCCTCTCTATCTCTGTGGTAAAAGTTACTAGTTCTAAATGCATCCTGTCATCAACAAAACCTAGTTCTTCATTTTCAATCCTCCCACCATGTTGAGTTAAGAGGGTGTATGTACCTGTTTTTTGAGTCAAGCTAAAGATGAAAATATCTGAAAAATATGACTAAAACAATATGAGGAATACAAAAGAGTGGATTAAGGGAGAGAAAATCAGCCCAATCTTAGTACTGAAACGATGGCAGAGAATACGAAGTCTGGAGTGTTGACAGAGCCCGAATTCTTTGTGTCCTTATCCCTTTTTGTCTTTGCCACCCCTTTATAGCCCTAGGTCATTCAGGTTAGGCCATGTCCCTTTATGGATCATGATGCCTTAATCTCTATTTTTCCGGTTCCGTTGCCAAGTGTACGTATCT